TAGGGATGACTCTAAGACTGTAAAAAAGCAACAGTGCAGCCTGGTAATTTCCCCCCTCTCCTCAAACATGAGACTTTTACGTTGTACTTCACAGAAAAAAAGACAATAAATCTTTCCAGCATGATGCCAACAGTCAGAATTCTTGGCTTCTTCTATGATCGCTTCCTGTTTTAACAGTTGCCAGAGCAGTGTCTGACCCTCAGCCCTTCCTGACCTCAGACAGCATCTCCTCAGTACCTTTTCCTTGCAGCATCCCTTGTCCACTCCTGTCTGCTCCCAAATGCCTTTTGCTGGTTGCTTCCAATTCATCTGAGCAAGCTCAGCTCCACTTCCCAAAGCACCCAGCACCCTTGCTCCAGGAGGGGCACCCTGCAGAATGGCACCCTTTGCACTGAGTACCTGCTTCATGTGTGAAGTGACTGCACAGCCCTTTAAGAGCCTTTTAAAGAAGCCACCTCCATGGTGTCAAGCTAAGGAGCGAGGTGCTAGCAGTGGGAGCTCATGCTGGCATTTGTTCTGCCAAGAACATGGAGGGCAAAAATGGCTTTTTTGAGGTAAATGGCGCCCCAGGGCAGCAATGGCTGCAGGGGTAAGGTAGGTGACATCTCTGTGGCATTTGCCAGATGGCGGCCCTTCAGGGATACCAGCTGGTGGTGCACCGTGTGGCAGCTGGAATCCAGCCAGACCCCTGCATCACTTTTTCCTTCTTTTTTCTTACCCTGCCCCGCTTCCCCCCTTGCAAAAATAAATCCTGCATGAGGTCCAGCCTGATCCCTGCCTCCTTCTCTCTCTGCTGCAAGTTCATGTTTCAGCCAGCACTGCCCGTGGCCAGCACGGGCTGCTGGAGGGAAGTTAGCAATAGCCAGTTCCCAGCAGGCAGAGTTCCTGCACACAATTTTGCATTAGTCAGAGCCTTGTTTCTCCTACTGCAGCACAAGCCCTGTCTAGGAAGGTTTTTCTGTACCAGGAGGGGCATAAGTATAGTGTGAGAGGAAACACACTGATCATTTTTGCCCAGAAGTAACCATTTCCCCATGTTTTTACATTTCTGGAAAATACTGATTTGTGTCTTTCAGAGAGAAGCAGTATCCTTTTGGAAAGGACAAGGGGAAGGGAAGAAATCCAGCTCCCATGTAATAGGTTATGTTTTATGAGTGCTGCTGGCCATCTGTGCTCTGGCCATTGCTGCTGGTGGATCCAGGGTAACAGCTTGAAGCCCCACATTCTGATTTCCCTGGGAAGGGTCCAGCAGGAGCCATGTCAGAAACTAACAGCAGAAGCCACATGCTAAAAATAATTATGGCAGGACCTGTCTGCATGGAAACACCACAGAATTTAGAAACTGGAGCATTTCTTTCCATCCAAACTATTTTAGATTTGAACTCTAGAAGGAAATAGAGAACAAGGAGTGTATCACTGCACAAAACCATGCTGTGCCCACATCCTGAAGGTCATATGGCTGAAGCTGTATGATTATGTGGTTCATATGATAGTGGGAAGTTCATAGCATAACTACAAAACTGCTGGTTTGTAGGAGCATTGCTGCAGCAGCAGTTTCTACTTACAGGTACTCACTCATAGGTGTGGGATCACTCCTACTGCAGGCCAGCCTGGCACGGGCCAGCTGCCCTCATGGCTATTTCTAGATGTTCCTCCACTTCCTCCTGCTTGTCTGCCCACTCTTAATTTCTTGGGTTTGGTAGAAACAGACTGGATAAGGATCATGGCTGGATTTCTTGTCTGCAGCTGTTCTTTGCAGGTGTGTTCTGGCAGCCAACAGCTTCTTTTGAAGCAAATCCTCATCCAGCATGTGGCAGGTCTGCTCTTCCTGACTGTGGCGTTTCTTCTCCTGCTCCTCTAGGCCACTCTAAGTTCTCAAGAACTCCCATTAGACTTTGTGTAATATGTTGGACAGTATCCCATGGACCACACCAGGAGCTCTTGATGGCAAAGGTGGAGCTGCACTGACTGTACTAGGAACTCCTATTGCCTGACCAAGGTAGGGAGTGAGAGCAGGATAATCAGTCATCCCCTTACAGACTTGGGATATTACTTACCTGAGTTGTTGCCCAAGTGGAGTGGTACAATTTTTGGTGGGCTTCAGAAAATTCCATTAACTGCCAACCTGGATTGTGGCCACTATGGAAATTTACCAAACTAAAGCAAATCACCTTGTGACCCTATAAACATTGGTCGTAAGTGAGACTCTTTGAGCTGAAAACCCTGCCCCTGCCATGCTGTGGGTGGTATGGAATCAAACAGTTGGCATGGTTAGAAGAAAAAAGGAATAGGGAGGGAAGAACTTCAGTGTTTAATGTTTAATACCACCATGTCACAGCTGGAGGATGTGGTTTCCAGCATAAAGCCCCTGGAAGTTCAGGGGCTCTTCCCTCAGAAGCAGAGAGTTGAGGGAGTGTGAGACCTCAGCAACATTGACTTCTTTCAGACAAAAAGAGTTTTTCCCCCATTCCCTACTATTTGTTTGTCTGGAGGAGGGAGTTTTTAAACTACAGAGACTCCTTTGCCATATGGCCCAGAGTGGGAACAGTGCCATCCCTTATTTGGGGACAAACTGGAAATACCTTTTCTGCATTTGTGGGCTCAGGCTGAACCATTTACCTTTGTATCTTGTGATTATTGCTATGTTTTCTTTTAGGAAATTGTTATTTTTTCATTTATATCTCTTTGCACTTGTCTTATTGGTAGAAGGGAGAGAGGTTAAAAACTGTCAGGAGGCAACTTAGTTTGGAGTCTCCACTCCATAAATTGTCTCAAAATGAGACAACAGTGGTAGAGACTCCACTCCTTTTTCCATTACCCAGGACAGGATGTCTCTCAGAGCTACAAATCCTCATGTGAAGCTGATAACAGGACCAAAATCCTTGAGGTTCAGCTCTGGCTCATTGAGAAATGCCAAACATTTCACTGAACACGAGGGGAGGAGATTATGTCTGAATTCATCCAAGGTTACAATCCCCCCCCAACCCTTCATCACACAAGCACCAGCACTGCCCGTGATGCACAGCATCCACACATTCATTGCTGGAGCAGTGTTTCACACCTATGGAACACAGGGAAAGAGTAGGACAGGCCCCTGGAAGGTGCCCTGGGCTGCCCTGCAGAGGGCATGAGCTCAGTCAGGAATGGAGCAGGCTCTGTTGACAGAACAGAGAAGTCCATTGAGCAGTAAGGGTGGATGGTACAGGGTGAACATGAAAGGGAATGGCAGAGGGAAAGGGTCAGGTACAGATCACTGTGAGCATAGGACTGGGAAGAAAAGAAGGGAGATGTGAGAGAAAGGTTGCTTGAAGGACAAAGGGTGGGAGAAGAAAGTAGGGGAGGTGAGAGGCAAGGGTGGTGGAACACTAAAGTATTGCCTTAATGCAATAACCATCAATTAGATGGTTATTAGACGACAGCAGAAAAAGTCACTGCCAAATGAGGCTAGGAAGCACTACCGTACAAAGCAGACTAAAACCCAACAGATCAATTAATTGATCTGGGAACAATCAAGATGCCTGGAAGCAATGGTAGGAGAAACCAGCAACAGCACTAAGCAGAGCTTTGTGGTCAGCCTTCCTGGACTTCTGTGCTTGGCTTTACCACTGAGCAATATCTTTCAGCAAACAGGTAGGTCCTGTTGGAGTCATCTCATTCCTGTTTATGTGGTTGTCTTGTCCTACTCAGATCAAGACAGAAATACTCCCTCCAGGGGGTTTATAGATTCAGATCAACATGAAGTTTTATCTTGGTTCTACTTTCGGTGGAGAGCACGAACAGCCACGGGTGATATTAAACTGGGAGGGTGGCCACCTAACAAATGGCTGCCCACAGGGGCCTCAGTCAACATGAGAAGCAGCACCCTGTGGTCTCTAAGGACGAATGGAGCAGAGCTCTACACAAGGGGTGACACAACTCTGTGCCTTCAGCCAGGCTGGAAGATTCAATCTGCCCAACAGCCCTTCTGAGAAGGACTTGGGGTTTCAGCAGACAACAGGCTGACCATTAACCAGAAATATGCTCCCATCACAGATAAGATAAACAGGCTGCACTAGCAGCCACATGTCTAGCACAGCCAGAAGAGTGATTTCTACCCACTCTGTCCAGAGCTGGTGAGGCCTCTCCAGGATTTGTCTCCAGTGTTAGGTCCTCCAGTTCAGAAGGGATGTGGCAAAAGAGTAGAGGAGCCAGCTGCGACTACAAAAATGGGGAGAGACCTGGAACACAGTGCCTCTGAGGAGAGAGAGCTGCTCTTGTGTAGTTTGGTGAGAAGAAGGCAGAGGGGACATCTTCCAGGAGCCTGTGACTGCTGGAAAGGCAGTGACAGACCTGAGAGCAAAACTCCTGCAGCATCAGGCAATGCAGCTGGGATCACAACCATAGAATGCAGCTTGGGAGGTCCAGAAGTAGATCTCAACAACAGGAAGTTTTAGTCTCCTGAAATACAATTAGCCTTTAAAGTCTCTTCACTTACCCACCCAAAGCACCTTGCCAGAATCAAGGGAAAAAACAAACAAAAGAAAGCAACAAAAACCCAAACAGCCCAAGCCCCAAAAACACTACTAATTGTATCTCCATCCTAATCATAGCAGAGGAACACAATGCATGAGTCCATCTCAGCTTGCCAAGTTGCAAATGATTATCCAATGTAGCATCTGAAAGCAATTTGCAGTAATTTTCTATTAAAATACTTCACTGTCAGATCAACAGCAATAGGAAAGCCTTGAATTAGACCACCCCCCTCCTACCTTACAAATACCTTTTGTATAGACTGAAAGAACTGCTAAGAGCTCTCTCTTTTTGGTAGAATTTTTCCAAGTATTTCTTTGGAGGTAGACATAATTCTTAGTTGTTCATCCACTTGGCAAGTTTTCTGTCTTCCACACTGTGCCCTTGGAGTAACATTACCAAGTGAGGAAAAACATTCTTTTTGCCAGAAGTCTCTTCACATGAAAAAGCTAAAGCATACCCAGTAGACACATGCAAACGCTGCAAAGAAATAACACAGAAAATAGTTTATTTTCCACTCCAGGAGATCTCAATAACCGCATCTCAAACTCACCAGAAATAAGCTTTAAAGTAATGCTGCAAAACACATGGGAAAACACATATCCAGCTCTCAAAAAGAGCAGGAAACTGCTTCAGGCTAGATGTACTTCTAAAAATATTGCTGAAGGTGAAAATACATTTACGTTTAATATTATCACATTTGGTTTTGCAGTTTCATGGAATCATTTTGGTTGGAAAAAAACCATTAAGACCATCCAGCCCAACCATTAATCTAACACTGTCAAGTCCACCACTAAAACATGTTCTTATGGGCCACATCCACACATCTTTTAAACACCCCAGGGCTGGTGACCCAGCCACTTCCCTGAGCACCCTGCTCCAATGCTTGACAAACCTTTTGGCAAAGTCTTTCTTTACCAAAGAATCTCCTCTCAATACCAAGAGGCTTTGACTAAACAAGGACTTTGGGACTCTTATCACATAACACTATTTTACAATACAAAGAATTTAAAGACTTTTAGGCATCTTCCACCTCTCCTTAAAATGAAAGAGAGAAAAGCAGTACCTTAAGACACCCAAAGAAAGAGAGGTGAGCTAACAAATGGCAGATGATTTGTTCCAATCAGCAGAGTTTCACTGGATCACTGCCAGACTGCTTTTCAAGTGTATCAGGATTTACATTATGAAGGTTAGGTGTTCAACCTGTTCTGTCCGTGCAGAACTCAGCACCACTGACACTTCAGATGCCAGCTGCAAATAATAAAACATCTAAGCATGTCAAGCATCACGGCTCTACTCAGTAGCCTGAACCTCCAAATGGAATTTAAACTCCCCAACTTCATAACTTCCTAAATGGCATAAATGGACCCTAACCTAACTCCCCAACATTTCTAACCTAAGGAGTTCTTTGCATCAGTTAAGCAAGGAATATGGATCCAGCTTTTTCAACCTTGGTATTCTTCCATGGATCAAAGGCAATATGATCCATGGAAGATGGATCAAAAAAAAACCATTTTTGGGTTGCTTGAGCCTTCCACCAGTCTGCAAATGAAAACCCTTCCCATGGCAGAAAAAACTTCCCAGGTTGAAAAGGCAATTCTGAAGCGAGCTTTTCCTTTGGAAACTTTAAAAGGTCTATCCTTTCCCTGTTCCATGATTCTTAATGGCTTTCAAACTCAGAAAATGGGAAAATTGGCCATTTTTTGCAATCCACTCTTCCTAGTATATGAGGAAGGATTACACTTGGCTTTGAAAGAGGGGAAAGAAAAGAAGAGTAGCCTGGTTCTGTTCATGACAAGTGGAAGTCTTACTGATGGTGCCAGCTATTCATGATGATGAACTCCCTTCCTCACCTCCACCTTCACAAGGAAATATTTTGCTTAGGATGGCCCAACAGAGTAAATAAGATCAGGAAAGGATGGGACAAGGGAAGGATGATAAGTGCAAACTGACATAAGATTCTCCTGCCATTCTGTGGGGCTGTCTCACCTTCACCATACTGCCATCAGATTCCTGCACTGGGTGAGATTGATCAACACTTACTGAAGACCAGTCCTACAGAAGGGGCTTCTCTTCAGCCAAGAAATGAAATAAAGGAGCAGATGGTTTGAAGTGCCCAATTGAAGCAGCCCACTATTAGCTTGGCTCAACTCTGAGGCTAAATGAGAGAGTGAGGGCTGAAAGGAAACACCTAAAAGCAGATCAGGGGGTGAGCTGGATATTCCAAAATACAGGAACAGAAAGGAAAATGCAGACTGCTGTTTTCTGGTCTGAGATCCTTCCTGCCAAGGGGGGTTGGTGAAAGCCTGCTAGTAAATCTGCAAGGAAGACCTCTGTACACCTCAGCCAAGAAAGATTATTGCTTTATTTTCCTGGCCATGCTTTAAGCTTGCCTAGGTCATCCTTCCCTCTTTCTCCTTTCTGTTGTTACCATGCCTTGTAAAGAATATTTGTGAGTGTGGCCCATGCAACAAACTCATTTCTTGTTACCTTGCACTGCCACAGCTTGCAAGACAAGCCACAACAACCTCCACGGGACAAGTAAAGGATTCAGACTTCCCCAGGCTGCATAGGATCAGACCACGGAAGCAGAGAATCTTTGGAATAAAGCAAACCTGAAGATGATGAATGTCACAGAGCATCATGACATTTACACAAAACCCCAAGCATGTGAAAGGTCTCCATTTCCTGGACAATATGCAGTAGGAGCTGTATGTCTTTTGTGATCTTCAGCTTCTTCCCAATAGAACATTCAAAGTCACAGAGCCAAAGCTTTCTGAAGGCAATGGCAATGCTGCAGGATAAAGGCAGGTCTTTATCTGTGACACCCTGAGAAATGAGCAGCAGCTGTGCCCCTGCTCACCTTGGCAAAACTGCCTGCCAGCTCTTCCCTGGGTTATACAGCCAGGTTCATGTTCCTGTACTTATTCTCACAAACAGCACTATAAAACCACAAACCCAATGCAGACTGGGAAGTGAAAAATGCATGAGAGTGTGGTTTAGCTTGCAGGTTCCCTGTTATTAGTGCTATGAGAGTATGACTCCTAACATTGGGCTGCATGGTTGCAAATTAATTGCTGCTTCTGAACATTTAGTACATCTTTGCAAGCAAAATGCAAAAGAAGAGCTAATCTTCAGAGCACTTAGCACAGATGTTCAGATACACACTGACAAATGCCTAGGAACCCCATGCTAATTTCTCTTCATCCCCTTTTTCTCCTTCCAAGGATCTGTTTACAGCCCAAATCACTTGGCATCTGCCAGAGCCAGAGCCTCTGATGTATTTCCCAGGAGCTTCTGCATCCTGGGAACTGTCAGTTCTCTTGACAATGGTGCTACACTGCACCCTTGTGATGAGGAAGGCCGGTCACATGCTAGGCTGTACTGGCCAGAGTGTAACCAGCATGGGAAAGGGCAAGATTAAAGGTCCTGCATCCCTCTGGGTGCTCAAAACTGACTGGACAAGGCCCTGAGCAACCTGATGTAGCTTTGGAGCTAGCCTCACTCCCAGCAGATGACAGGACAAAAAATCTCCAGCAGTCCCTTCTCACCTAAACCTCAATGCCAGCCTTTGCAGAACTAGAGATGCTTCTTGGATCAACACTTGCAACACAACAATTTTATCCACAAGAGGAAGGACAAATAACCTACAGTTCTTCTCAAAACATACAAAAATAACAGCTTCTGACCAGTGGTAGAGACACCGAGTATTTGTTGCATATTAGAAAAGCTTGACATTAAAGTAACTCTCATTATCCTTGACACCAAAGCCAATCACATCTCTAAAGTAAGAAATCAAGCTACACATATTGTTATTAATAGGAAATAATATTTCTTACCATTCCTATAAAAAACTAAATATTGCAACATAGCAAAAAAACCTCAACATACTTCATCATCCATGCACATGGGAAAAACACCGCTTTTGTCTGAATTTTGTGAATTTCCTATATAGGACTCACCTAGACACAGGTTTTAAGGTCCAGAATGAGGTCATAAAATTATTTCCTTAAACCCAGCTCATGAAGGAAAAAGAGATGCCACCTTTTAGGAGAAATGTCTCTTCATTTAAAATATTCCTACTGCAAAACATCAACAGTTCAACACTAAGCTTTATGAGCTCATGTGGTACATTTAAGTTACAAGCAACATTTTATCCGGGTTTGCCTTGTGTGTGGTCCCATTAGACAGAAAAAAAAACCCTCTCATTATATGTATTTTGGTGATATTTACAAGTTTACCATTATGGTCTAGGATGAGCGCAAAGCCACACTCAAGATAACCTTAATTAACCCCATGAAAACTGAAAGACACAAAATGGGATCACATACCTCACCGTTTTATTTGTTCCCCCACAAAGCTGTTAAAATATCATTCAGAGCCCTCATCTTTCAGCAATGGATCTTAATCAATGACAACTTCAGCCTATTTACATGCTGAATTTTATGTGAATTTGATTTGGAAATAACTGCTTTTGATACAAACAAGCCTATAAAATAAAATAAAGATTTTGCTTAAAATTAAATAGTGGTTTAGGGTTTTTTTCCAATTCACGGTGGTGTCTGATAAAAAATTACATTGATTTATCCTCTTAAATACAGGTGCAAGTTTGCAGCAGTTCCTTTTGCATCTGTGTTTGTGGGTTGAGTGTTAGAAGCCCGTTTATAGCGCTTCTCTTAGCCTTCCTGGGAATTTCAAGGAAAGGACACCTCTTCATTTCTCCTTTTGTGTCTTTGTGCAAGAGTTGACAGATCCACCCTCAGCCTGAGAGTCTGTGCTTTGAATCAGCTCTGCCTTGTGGCAGCTGCTTTGCTCAGCTGCCCAGCAAGGTGGGTGAGGCAGATGCATTTTTGCTCCTCTTTTTGCTCCTCCATGCTGGGGCTCCAAAAATAAAAGCAATGTTAACTATCAAAATACATTCATTAACAACAGATTTGCCTATATATTATTGCATTTTCCCCAAAAGCTTCTACTAGAAGTCCATACAAAACAACAATTTAATGGAATAATGGGATACAGCCTATGGGGTAATGCACAGGAAAGGAATGTTGTTAATTTGACTTAATGTGAACAGAACTCTAGTGAAAATAGGATCATGATTAAAGCAACAGTAGTGATAATTTTGCTTACAGAAAATTACTTACCACAGGTAATGAAAATATTTTCTTATTTTTTTTTTTTTATCATAGCTGAAGAAAACCTTATCAGAGACACAGTTCCTATCTTTTATGGTGTGAAAGCTGTTTTGGGGTTTCTGTGTAAAACCTTCCCAGTGTGAGGATGGAGTACATATTGCACTATCTGTACATAACTGTGCTCTGCTGGGGAAGATCTTCAATATTAGAAGAAAATACTATGATAGAGTTTTTACATTTTTAATATTTCAGAAAATCTTAATCAGAGAACACTTTTTTGAGGAGACTTATTTTGCCACAGCTGTTCTGCCTTTTTGTATATAAAAAGTAAGCAATCACAACGTTATGGAATATCACGAAAAAAATATTTTGTGCCCCATCATGGAACTGAGGAAAGATTTAGAAGAAAAACCTGAAATTGCCAAGTTCCATTGGTGCTCCAGCTGTGTTTTTGAGGGGTGTGTGTAGATGCCTCATTCCCGTTATGTCAATATGTCATCCATCTTTCTCCTCAGAACACCATCCAGCACTGTAGCCAAATGTTTCAAGTAATTTTCCTTTCGTACCTTGAGGTAGTTTGTTCCCCTGCCACCTGAACCGGGATGGGGAAAGACACGATCCGTTTGCAGTCACAGGCAGAGGGGATCACAGCAAAACCTCTTCGTGTCCTTCCCAGAATTGCAGATCCAATTGCAGACGCTTGGTGGAGCAGGATATTTACAAGTTGCAATGAACACTTAGTTCTGCGTGTGCATAACGAACAGCTCACATTGCTGTTGGAAAAACCACATTTTTTCACTACAACCACTTGTTTCTCTGCCTGCTCGCTGCATAAAGGATGGTAAGAGGACAATGGTATGGGGAGCTCATGGAGCCTTCAGTTCCTTTCAGCCCTCAGCTGAAGAAAGGAAACCTGCTTAGGCAGTAGCACTGCCTTTAAAATGAACCAAAAGAGTAGGTTTAAACTAGATATTCAGAAAAAAACCTCTTCACTGTGAAGGTGGTGAGGTGCTGGAACACCATTGTCAGGACCTCTGGTTACGTCTCCCATAGGAATTGCTTTGGGTTTTTATTTGTTTCTTTCTTTCTTTCGTTCAGCGGGACGGAACGGCCGCGAGCTCCGGCGGCTCCGCAGCAGCAGCAGCAGCGCTTCTCTCGATCGGTTTTCCGCTTGACTTTTCGCTCGCACTCCGTCCCCGTCTCCGTCTAACAATCTCTCCACTCCCGTCCTGTCTCGTCCCGCTCCGTCCGCGT